ATTTGGGAAATTTTTTATTATGTAATTTTTGCTTTAGACCTGTTGACACTGTTTTCAATATTGTGTGTGTTTTTTTTTTTTATTTCTTTAACTGATTTAATTTAAATGAAAATGCTAATACTTATATTATACAAAATTATTAAGCTGTTATAACTTCAGCTTTTTAGTTTTTGTGTATATGTTGTTTTTTCAATACACATGGTTTTTGGGAGTCTGTGTACAAGCTATCAACTACCGGAGGTTGGCATCAATACCAAAGGGCCAAAGTCTCTTTTAAATAACTTTTATTTAAATTTAACTGCAATATTTCAGATTTATTTTTTAAATTTTCAACATTTTTAACCCTCTTGGGACGGATGGGCCAATCTGGGTGGAGTAGTGAAAAAGATAGAGGTCCGATCTATCGGCCCAATAATTCAAGCCTTGAGATTGGCTGGCTAGTCTTCATTCCAACGAATCTGAGTGCTTCTTACATATTCCTGATCCAGCATTGTAATAGCAGCCAGTGTTGATAGTTAACTAGCTTTTGATGTGTTCAGGAATTTTATTTTTGTGTGGCAAGCAATATCGTAAAAATCCAAAATGCCTGACAGTGACACTGATCATCTATTCCTAGTGATTTCGATATTCTAGCAGTGAATATGACACTGACACTGATGAAAACAACCAGGAAAGTAATTAAGACTATCAAAATGATAGAGGTCATGCTAATGTTGTGAAGCCTTGGCTTAGTATTAGGCTATTAGGGTATTAAGGGTTCTCAACTAAATAGCGATGATCCCTCTGAATTTTTAGACAACATATGTCCTATAAATAAGGCATAAGCACCCCATTTAAGTACTTTATACTATTTTTTACACTAAATATCACTCAAATGTTTATGAGAGAGACAAATAGGTAAGCAGACAACTTTCTCAGTAACACTCATCTTAAGAGAATGTCCCTTAGTCATACATGGGGGACTGTTACAGTGAGTGTCTGTAGCAACTGAAAAATAGCCTGGGTCAGGAAAAGGAGTAGAAACCATGTGCCAGAGATGTCCAGAGGGCCTCCATAGGCCTTGTTTCCCCAAAACACAAGTGTTAGGACTTATTCAGGCTTTATCCATACAAAAATTCACACAATTGATACAAGTAAGTCATGTTTATTTTAGGTTTAACAAAAAATTACACGCATAAATTATGCAAATCAGCCTAGCTAATTTGAATAAATGTTGAGATTTCAGTTTGATTTATAAAGATTATATTAGTTCATTCAATGTCATACAAGAATGTATATAGTTTTATATATGTAAAGGAAATAGTTTATTTTTTATAAATTATTTTGCAATGCGAGTGCCGAGCTCTTAAAAGGTGCACAGTCTTTTTGGCGTAGACACCCCGAAAAGGCTCAGTTCCAAAAGGGTTAAACAAGCAATATTAATTCATTTTGAATAACTTAATAACTACAATTTGTGGAGAATTTGGGATTAAAATGATAACATTTTTTAAGAAATTATCTATTACTTTACAATACCTTTATGATATGAATGTATATATACTGTTTATAACTTCACTATATATTTATGATATTAATGTTTCTTTACTGTTTATTACTTTGCTATATATTTATGTTATGAATGTTTCTATACAGATCTGCCTACTGCCATAAAATAGTGAGCATCAGAAATTACAGACACTCAAAGAGATTAGGCATGCTGCAAAGCATTCTGTAAAACATTAAATGTTCCGCTGCGATCATATTTATATTAACACTTCACAAGTGGGACTGTGTAATCATTTATTTTTTAAAATATAAATCTTAAAATTAGTGAAATCTAGTTACTGCCCTATTTTTGAGGTTTTTAAAAGGCAAGATAGAAATTCAAATTACTTCGCTAAGAAATTTATATACATAGGTAATCATCTTTTAAGAGTGGATTTATTCAGTAATTCAGTAATCTTCAATTGTGTTTTTTTTTTAAATAAACATGAACAAAATATTGCGAGGAGTTATCAAATATAACAAAAATGTTGCTGACAGGGTCAAGTTTGTGTCGGATATGGAAAAGGTCACAAAACAACTGGTTCAGGTAATAGTTATAATGAAGATAAATAAATTTGAAATTTACTTGTAATTCTCTTTTGAAGTAATTTAAACTTAAGATATTTTATAATAAGAAGTTAAAAATATGATTTCCAAATTATTTTGAAATTAAAAAATTAAGAAGATATTGTAATTTCTATTGTATTTTACAAGAAAGGTCCATTGCTACATTAATATATATTCATCATTTACTTAAATATTTGAGAAAATAAATGAATTTATTTCTTTGGTGCCTAAAATTTCTTCCTGGGCATTTGCATCTGGATTTATTTTAAATAAAAAATGGGCATACTTCAATTGTTTTATCGATATACTTTCAGCCTAAGTCTGTGTTTGTTAGCTGCATGGACTGTCGTGTTTTGCCATCCAAGTTTGTAAGCTCAAAGATCGGAGAAATCTACTTCCTCCGTAATGCTGGCAATATGGTCCCGCACTATGATGCTTACATTGCTGGGAGCATCAGCTCAGAGGGCGGTGGCCTTGAACTTGGATGCATCACAAACAAGATTCGAAATGTTGTTGTCTGCGGACATTCTGATTGCAAGGTATTTATCATTAAAATAATTAGTTACGCATGTGCATTCTAACTGTAGTTCAAATATGAGTGAGCTTTAACTGCTAAGTATATGCTTGCCCAGATTGTGCATGGTAATTAAGAGATTTTTGTGGTAGTTAAGTTAAAAGTTAAGAGAGATAAGAGTTTAAACCTATTTTTGTTTTCCTACAGGCTGCCTATGCTCTGTTTGACATAAGGAACAAGTGTGACCACACCCACTACCTGCACAACTCCCCTCTAAGGACATGGGTGGCTCTTCATGGCGTGAGAACCGTGGATAAATTCTCCCAGCTGTACCCAGACAATGTGGAGCATCCAGAAGTCTTCGATTCGACCGAGCCAATGGTTTTTCCAGTCAACCTCGGCGGGCAGGATATCGACGCTATCATCGATCCAGAAAATAAGTTTTGTATCCAAGATAAGTTTTCACAGGTATGAGATCCGTCTTTAGACATATTTACGGCCAGTCTCTGTTGTTAGCGTATCTTGTTTGTGGTCAACACACATGATACATTTTTCTCTTAGTTGTAAGATCTGTCAAACTGGCACATGCAACAGTTTAAACTATCCTCACACAATTTAACACATGAATGTATTTTTTTTTTAAAAATAAGATCAAGGTCTCAATTTTTGTTTCACAAAACTATAAATTGTAAAATAACACAAATATTTTGCTTTGAGACATTTTAGCTAAAGCTAAGTTATTAATTAAGCCATGTTTATGGCATTTCAGTGCAGTATGTAGTATTGATCTTAAAGGCTATTTTTTTTTTTTAAGCCATGAATGAATTTTGCTTCATTTCATGGAACACAAAATTTGATAACCATTCTTTAATGCTTGCGCGCATAGCTTTAGAAAATTGAGGATAAATATTGTACACATCACATGTGCAGCACCACATGTTACATGTTGTCAGAGCTGAAACACACATGTATTACTACTTCTTACACATAGCCACACAAACCAAATATAAGATTTGACGTATCTATTCAGATGCACATCACATACACTTCAAACACTTTTAAACGTGGTCACACAATATATGCAGATGGAGCTGGTCCAGATGGGACTGTTGTTATGTCCTAATGGTGCTGATGCCTGTTGTTGCTAGTTGTTACCCTGGTTTTTTTACCTAACCCACAGCTTCACTGCCTGGAACAGGCCAGCCATGTAAAAACCTACCCCATGTTACGTGAGCATCTTATCTCAGGAGATCTCCACATCCACGCTATGTGGTTTGATGTGTACACAGGGAACGTCTACATGTTCAGCCCATCACGGCGCACTTTTATACTTGTGGATGACAACAGCATTGAAACCTTGCTGCAGGACGCTGCTGAATATGGTACTCAGGCAGCCGATGACTGACCACCGCCCACCGTTACAAGGCTCACAGTTTTCTCTGTGTTAACCTTAATTAAATTCTAGATAATAAGTGTCCTCTGTGTTATGGTTATGTTCTATGGATTGACTTTAGCTACATTCAAATAATGCATTGATTGAATCTTCACTTACAATACATCTAAATTTAAAATACTGGGCTAAAGGAGTGATTTTTTTCTAAGCCTCGTAAGCCCTTAAAAAAAAAATTAATATCCTTTTCCTAACGAAATTATAATAACACCATATAAATATATTTTCATTTTTAGTTCTGTTAATGGTTAAAACTGTTGAATATGGTATTTTAAAAAAACATATCCATTCTTATATTTTTATGTGCATCCGTTGATGGATATCTTTTTTATTTGTTGTGTGACACCAGAAAGCAGATTGCAGTGGTTCTCATGAGTCTGTGATGCATTCAAGTTAATGTGAGGCTTTTTATTCTTAAGATCCTCCAGTGTCTCACACTTATTTTTAAAAAAGAAATCCTCCATAGTTTTTTTCCGCAAGAAATAAAATATTACTGAAATTTCTTAAAAATCACAGACGAAAACAGCATTTGCAAAATTAATTGCTGGTGAAAAGTGTCATGAATGGGATGAAAGAAGACTAGATCTATGTTTCCAGAAGTGGCGTTACCTGGTTTATGGGAGGAAGGTGACAGCCCCCACGTAAACATTATTTTTTAAATGTCCTATTCGGCCTTTGTCATTCCTTAGTGTCTTTACAACTATTTACTTTTTAGATTTAGAGTCCAGGAACATAATATTCAGAATTTAGTTCATTTCTTTTGAAAAAAAATTTTTTAAGCTCAGTATTATTATCAATCCCTCATGGAATGGATGACCATTTTTATAAGGGTGTTCCACTGCTTAAATCATTTTGTGTAGTGGCTGTTTTGAAATTTCCCACCACTGATCGGTTTTGCATTAATTTTTTTTTGGTAATAATAAAGTGTTAATACTCGTAATAGTGATAGTTAAATGGCTACAAATAGAAAGTTAAAAATTAACATCTACAAGGTTAGAAAGGAAAACGGAAATTCTAGAAATTTGCATGCTAAAAATTTGAGTTCTAAAAAAAGTTAAAAGTTTCACTGCACACTTTTTATCATAATTTACAATTTTTTTTAGTTAATGCCCAAATTGTTGCCGGCATGCCATATTACTAGGCCATTCTTTACTCTGGTCTCTTGATTATTCTTTTTCGTGTTCGTCCCAGTATTTTTAAGCGATTTTGGACTTTTCTTAACATTTGCTCAAACAGAGATAGTGCAATATTAAAATGAAGTTTTATTTCGTCGTCTTTAAGTTTTAATTTAATTTAAAAATTGACCTAAACTTACATTAACATTTTTTTTTAAATTATGGTGAAAGGATCTGAAACAAATTGTCAAGATATTTATTATTAGTTACTGATCTTATAATAGGTATTGGTCATGATATTTGTTTTACCTACCACTGTTATAACTCAATATTGCACATACAGTCCTGTCCATAAGTTTAGTGAACAATCCCAAGTACAATACAGACTTATACATATCTTAACCAGATCCACACACGGTCCTGACTAAATTATTCAGATCAAATGAAATATGCAAATTAGTATTCTGTATTAATGAAAGTGAATGTTATGCTCTTTGCTTTCCAAATACCATCATCTTTTTAATTGGGAGATGTTTGCCGATTCTTAGGTGTTTCATTTTTAACAGTGATTGTAATTCGATTTTTTTTTTTAATGTTTGGTTTTAAATATTTTATTATAATTAACAGTTTTCTTGGATACTTTTCAGAACTTTCAGGATTTTTCAGAAGTTTTTTGTTAGCCTTACTTTAACCAGTAAAATTTCCTGGAGGTACTTGATTTTTTATTAGAAAATGTATATCGACTCTTAGTTGTTCCACCTTTATTTTTTATTTTTTTAATTGGCTCTTAAAAAATATTTTTATTGGATATTTTTCAGTTTTTCTCATACATTTTTTGTTAGCCATGCATTAACCAGAAGAGGAAATAAGAATGTGAACTACTCTTTTATTTAAATTTTAAGCTTGAAAGTTTGTGGTTTTTACTATACCGGTGTGCAAAACTTGTGTATTATACCGGTGTGCAAAATTTGTGTTTTATCATATCGGAAGTTTTACTGTACATCAAGTCTCTTACTATTTAAATTGGTATAACTGACTCTTTTTCCAAACAAATCCAAGACAAAATTGTTCGAGGGGCTGCATTCAGCCATCAGTAGGTCATGCTTAGATGTAAATAGTATAAATAATTACTTTAATGTGGGTTCGGGTTTCTCTGGTGTCTATTGTAAAACCATCTCACATCATCATCTGACTCATTCACCTGCAAACATTGTTTAACCATCAGGCATCATTTGATCCTCTACCATCATTTGACTTTAAAGCATTGTTAAACCATCAACTGGATCATCGACAGATACTACAATCCGTCGACTATAAAATTTTGTTTACACGTCAAATTTCATTTAACCATCAAACATCATTTGAATATCAAACATCAATTGTCCATCAAGCATCAATTGTCCATCAAACATCAAAATTGACCAAGAAACATCATCAGACTATCAAACATCCAATCACACATTCATCTGCTCTTAATTTGTTGTTTGACTGTGTATTGTATTTGTACCAGCTTCCAATCAATATATTAGTGAAACTTAATTTCCCTAATTATCCAAGAGTTCCATTTTTAAAAAAAATAAACTGGTTTTATAATTTTATATGATCTGTTTTATATTATGTTGTTGTTTAAGTTGAAAATTTAATTTTATTCCGTTAGTGAAACTTGGGCATGATGATTTCTCTCTCAGCTGATAAATTGTTCTCAGCGTTAGTCAATAAATTTTGAATCAACAAATTCTTCATTTTCTTTACGTCTCATTTTACATGGAAGAGAAATTGTTGATTGCATTTTTTTTTTAAATAAAGCATACACAATTTATATGTTAAACCAGTAGCACTATACTGAAAACATGTTATTATTATTTCCTGTTTTTATTGATTTTTGCCCTTATCCACTGAGTTTTAATTTTTTTTAAATATAATAATATGCATTTTGCCGTTATCTAAAAGAGCGATGTTTTAAATGATATAAAATTGTAATCTCTTGTGATATATACATATATAAAAATAAATTTTTCTGTGCATCTCTATGGCTTATAATATTATCCAGCAATAGTAAAAAATGTAGTTCGCTTCAAATGATAAAGAAATTTGAACATTGGGAAAACAGTTAAGGAGCCATCAAAGTGTCAACCTTGTCTTGTATACATCCATGAGGATTAAACACATTTTTTCATTTGCCGAATATCCAGCTCTAGGAATCCATCAATCCGTAACACGGACTGGCATTGGAAAGAGTTGTGTCATTTTATGTTTGTTAATGAAAAATTTGTTTTTGGGCCTGGTGATCATTCAAATTGTTGGTGATCCAGTCAGTCAACTCATCGTGGTTTAAATCATCTTCTAAGCTGTCATTTTGGTTAACTCTCTGAAGATTTTCCTATTTTGAGCTGTCATACGTTGCTATGGAGATGTGAAGATCTTTTTTTTAAATTCTGTCTTGGTTAAAACCTAGTTTTACAAGAAGATGGTCACATAAAGAAGGGACACATTATTAGGCCATGTTAAATAACACTCTCAATGCAAAATTTCCCCTTTGTTTTGAGTTGTCATTTTAGGAAAATGATGTCCTCATTTTTTGTAGGTGTTTGCCTGGGGCACAGTTAATATGGAGCTTTTCTATTTTTTTTTTTTACATTTTTTTTCTTCAGATTTTAGGTGAATTATATGATGATACATTTTGTTTTGTGTTGTCTTGCAAGCTATGTGATAGGATCAATTTTGTTTTGTGTTGTCTTGCAAGATATGTGATAGGATCAATTTTGTTTTGTGTTGTCTTACAAGATATGTGATAGGGTCAATTTTGTTTTGTGTTGTCTTGCAAGATATGTGATAGGGTCAATTTTTTGTGTTGTCTTGCAAGATATGTGATAGGGTCAATTTTGTTTTGTGTTGTCTTGCAAGATATGTGATAGGGTCAATTTTGTTTTGTGTTGTCTTGCAAGATATGTGATAGGGTCAATTTTGTTTTGTGTTGTCTTGCAAGCTATGTGATAGGGTCAATTTTGTTTTGTGTTGTCTTGCAAGCTATGTGATAGGATCAATTTTGTTTTGTGTTGTCTTGCAAGATATGTGATAGGATCAATTTTGTTTTGTGTTGTCTTACAAGATATGTGATAGGGTCAATTTAATTTTGTTTTGTGTTGTCTTGCAAGCTATGTGATAGGATCAATTTTGTTTTGTGTTGTCTTGCAAGATATGTGATAGGATCAATTTTGTTTTGTGTTGTCTTACAAGATATGTGATAGGGTCAATTTTGTTTTGTGTTGTCTTGCAAGATATGTGATAGGGTCAATTTTTTGTGTTGTCTTGCAAGATATGTGATAGGGTCAATTTTGTTTTGTGTTGTCTTGCAAGATATGTGATAGGGTCAATTTTGTTTTGTGTTGTCTTGCAAGATATGTGATAGGGTCAATTTTGTTTTGTGTTGTCTTGCAAGCTATGTGATAGGGTCAATTTTGTTTTGTGTTGTCTTGCAAGCTATGTGATAGGGTCAATTTTGTTTTGTGTTGTCTTGCAAGATATGTGATAGGGTCAATTTTGTTTTGTGTTGTCTTGCAAGCTATGTGATAGGGTCAATTTTGTTTTGTGTTGTCTTGCAAGCTATGTGATAGGGTCAATTTTGTTTTGTGTTGTCTTGCAAGATATGTGATAGGGTCAATTTTGTTTTGTCTTCAAAAGGAAGTAGTAGGGTCATTTTTTTTTTTGTGTGGTGGCCGGTGAGAGACGTAATATAATCATTCTTTGTGAGATATACATTGTGGTCTTTTTGGCCAAAAAAACAGGTTTCTTAGTGTGCACATTTTACTTTCTACCTCAAACATTTAGTAATTTTAATAATTTTAATAATTTCTACATTTCCAGTTAATAATCTAATTTAGAATTTTAAGATTTCTCATACTTTATGTCCATCAATGTGTGTGTCAATGTAACTTATATTTTTCAATGTAATTTATGTCTTGTCAATGATTTTTTTTTTCTGTCAATGAAATTTAATTTATTTCTGTTAATGTAATTTATGTCTGTCAATGTAATTGTAGATGAGCAGGATAAACGAGATTTATAGCAGTAGCTGTATACAGTATTATGGGATCTTACAGTAATGGAAAAAGCTGTGCTGTAAATCCCTTATACCTATAGGAAAGTTTTAAGATATGTCAGGCTTCTGTTCTATTCCTTTTTTTTTTTTTTTAAATTTTTTTTGACCCCCCCCCCCAAACCCTCTCCCCTTCCCATGTCAATGGTGGGAGGGGCACGATGGAGCTGCAAGAAAATTTCATGTGGATGAAGTTGGTCACGCAGGGGCGTCATTTTAGGGTTTTTTTTCATTGAGGGGTGGGGTGCAAAAACCAAAACTTGGTTAGTTTGTTCATTTGTTTTTTTACTCTGGAGGTGCCATGCACAGTACATAACAATTTAAATAAAACCAGCTTATTCGCGTGGGGGGAGGAGGCAAATGCCCCACCCGGCCCTACCCAAATGACGTCCCTGTGGCAATGGTTGATCCCTTGTGACCACCGTCTGGAAAATCACTGTCAATTTGGTTTCTTTTGAACAAGAACTACATAAAGCTTAGTAAAAGATAGGCATTGTTGTTGTTGTTATTATTGCTGTCTGTGAAGTATTTGGTTACGTGTAAGTTATTCAACATTTTTGTGACCGATCTGGGAAAAAAATCTTTAGTACGGGCAGCTCAGATATGACACCAGCTCAGATATGACACCAGCTCAGATATGACACCAGCTCAGATATGACACCAGCTCAGATATGACACCAGCTCAGATATGACACCAGCTCAGATATGACACCAGCTCAGATATGACACCAGCTCAGATATGACACCAGCTCAGATATGACACCAGCTCAGATATGACACGATAAAATTTATTGGACATTCCGGATCCCGGACAAAATTCCTCTCTAAAAATAAATACCCCCCCCCATGTCTGCACCGGTGACGTCACATTTAGCGCCCACCCATCCCTGTGGCGCTACAGCCCCCTTGTAGGGCTTTCGCCTGCCTCACCACAGCATCCTTCCACTCAGACCACCCATCCCTGTGGCGCTACAGCCCCCTTGTAGGGCTTTGGCCTGCCTCACCACAGCATCCTTCCACTCAGACCATTCATCCCTGTGGCGCTACAGCCCCCGTGTAGGGCTTTGGCCTGCCTCACCACAGCATCCTTCCACTCAGACCATTCATCCCTGTGGCGCTACAGCCCCCTTGAAGGGCTTTGGCCTGCCTCACCACAGCATCCTTCCACTCAGACCACCCATCCCTGTGACGCTACAGCCCCCTTGTAGGGCTTTGGCCTGCCTCACCACAGTATCCTTCCACTCAGACCACCCATCCCTGTGGCGCTACAGCCCCCTTGTAGGGCTTTTGCCTGCCTCACCACAGCATCCTTCCACTCAGACCATTCATCCCTGTGGCGCTACAGCCCCCTTGTAGGGCTTTGGCCTGCCTCACCACAGCATTCTTCCACTCAGACCACCCATCCCTGTGACGCTACAGCCCCCTTGTAGGGCTTTGGCCTGCCTCACCACAGCATCCTTCCACTCAGACCTGACTGATGCTTTCTTTTCCCATGCCTGGTTTCCCAGCTGCTGTAGATTCCTCTCCGAATCATCCATCCTTCTAAGCCCAGGTCTGCCTTTACGTTGTTTTCCTCTTGGATTTTGGTGGTGCGCCCTCTTCACTCCCCTGTCATTTGGAACTCTTTATAAGTGTCCCTCTCAGTGTAGCCCGTCCGTTCTCTTTAAAATGTATGTCTGCTACTAGTGTGGGATCGTGATATAAATTCTACAATTCCTAGTTGAGCACATTGACGTACGAGCAAGGTTACGGGAGGAATTAAATTTGTACCTCGAGGCACCACTGTATTTTAAATAACTCAATCTATATTTGTACCACCCTGTGTCTGCCAGTAATGTGCTAAATATAGGCATAGGCAAGCTATTAAATGTAAAATTCTCAAAATGATATAAACCACTCACAAAAAAAACAACAAAAAAATTTCTAAATGCGTATATTATGTGTTGTATTAATTTTAAGCTTAATTTTGCTGTATTTTTTTTTAGTAATTAATACAGTAATTTATTCAATTTTAATGCATTAATGACGTCATAAATATATATTTATGCTTAAGAAACCTAACTCCGATGCTGAGGTTAAAAATATTTCTGCTAAGTTCCCTTGGCTAAGTAGCCCCCCCCCCCCTCTTTGCAAAATAAAAAATAAGTGAGCCTACTTTTAAGAAACATAGAGGGGGATGTAGATATAAGTTAGTGTTATAGATGTTTTAAAAACGGATGTATAAAA